TATAAATATAAATAGGAGGGTGAGTTTGTAGCACAGAGAGAACACACCATTCAGTATTCTTTTCATTCAGCTTCTGTTATGAATTGATATCAGTTTTTACAGCTCAAAGTTACTTATGGCAAGAACAAATACAGGTAGTCCTCAAGTCACAATAGTCCATTTAGTGACTGTTCAAAGTACAGTGGCACTAAAAAAAAGACTAATGACTGTTTTTCACACTTACAACCATTGTGGCTCTATAGTCACATGACAAAAATTTGGCTGCTTGGCAACTGGTTCATATTTATGACGGTTGCAATATTTCAGGGTCACATGATCAGCTTTTTCGACTTTCTGATAAGCAAAGTCAATGGGGAAGCCAGGTTCACTTAACAACCATATCACTAACTTAGCAACTGCAGTGATTCACTTAACAACTGTGGCAAGAAAGGAGATAAAATGAAGAAAGATTCACTTAACAAATGTCTCACTTAGCAACATAATAAATTTCGAGCTCAATTGTGGTTCTAAGTTGAGGACCACCTGGTACATCTGAAAAAACTATTGTGTGCTTCCGCAATAATTCACTTCCCCTCAACTTGACATCTATGGAATATCTATTTGACCAAAAACCGAGAATATATTCATTGATTTTTTCAGTCGTCTTATTCACTGGAAAGTTAAATAATGAAACACCCCAGATAGGAAATACTTCCAAGTCTGTTAACAAAAATAAACTAAATATAAATCAAACATTTTCACTTTACATCAGTATGCTAACCCAGTTATCTCCTGACAAGTACTGTATAATTAAGATCTTGAAAAACATGATGTAAGAGTCTTAAGACTTTTTAGAGTATATTTTTAGAGACAATATTGAGAGATTTTTTTAAAAAATACTGTCAGTTTCACAACTCCCTTCAAGAAGAGAATTCACAAGGAAGCAACAGATTGCAGGTGGGAAGAAAAAGAATCAGTGAATAATTGCAAGAAGACCCCTCCCTCTTTGATTTGGGGACCCTGATTTCCCAATTGTAGTTTATACCAAGGGATTTTATATAAGAGAGGGATTGGGATGTATTTCTTAGTAGCATGAAAAATGTTCTCTGGATATACTTAGGGATTCTCTACTATTATTGTCTTGTACACAAGAAAGAGATAAGTCCTGACATATGGTATTTCCAGAAAGAGGGTAAAGAACTATAATAAACATTTGATCCATTACAGAAATAATCCTGCATTTCCTATCTGCAAACTGAAGAGATTAAGAAAAGAGCAGACACTTTACAGCAGAATTGCAGATGCTCTTGTGGCACCCATAAATTCCAGAGTTTAACAGTTAGGTAAAAGGAGCTACTGCTCCAGAGGTGGGTTCCTGCCAGTTCTAACCTCTTCTATAGAAGAGGTTCCACAAATCTACCGTGCTGTTTAGAACCGGTTCCAGCTCCCTCCCTCCCCCCCCGCCTATCCGCACCACGCTTGCCCCGCCCGCCGCTCACTGATTGGCTGGCTCACCTATCACCCCGCCCGCCTCTAAGAGTCCTATATAAATCTTAAAGTCTTAAAGCTGTCAAGTTTGAACACCCTTGGGGGGGGGGGGTTCCTAAAAGATTACGGGTGCAAGAGTCTTGTAACTTGACAGCTTTAAGACTTGCACACTTCAATGCCAGAGTTCCTGAGCCAACATGACTGGAGGAGGAATTCTGGGAG